TCACCAGGCCCAGAACTCGACAAGGTCGGGGTCAGTCATTGCATCATCATACTCTGGTCTCAGAATGGTCCCCTCTGCTACCCTGCTTGTCAGGGACCCAGGGTCAGAGGGTAGAGCCAACACCCCGGGTCAGTTGGAACTTCAGTTCACCAACAGCAACAACAACCGATCGCACTAGACCAGACCATGATGCAGCCCTCCCAACCTGCAGGAGATATGCCCTCGTAAGGACAGCTGATGGTGAGGGAATCTCCATCTTTGTCACCTGATGAAGCCCTAGCAGATCTGTCCCCAGCCATGCCATCTATGGACATGCAGGCACACCAGGATCTCCACAAAAGGCTGGCCTAGAATCTAGGGGTGCAGGCTGAGGAAGTTAGAGGAGGTGGATCCAGTGGTGGGCATCATCACTGCAGCTGGCCCCACCAAGATTGCCCTCCCTTGAATAAAATGGTGGCAAAAATCACCAAAACCCTCTGGCAGACCCCAGCATCCATACCACCTACACAGAAGGGTGTTGAGAGACAGTACTACATCCCTCAGGTGGGTCATGAGCACATGTTTATGCATCCACCACCAGGCTCAGTAGTTGTGCAAGCTGCCTGCCAGAGGGAGAGACAAGGGCAGATGAGCCCCATGCCCAAGAGCAAAGAGTCAAAAAAGCTCAACATATTGGGCAGAAAAGCATACGCAACAGCTGGGCTCCAGCTGAGGACAGTCTACCAGCAGGTTATGCTCAGCAGGTATGCCTACAACTCCTGGTTGGCCATTGACATGTTCAAAGCCTGACTACTGCAGGACTCCCGGCAGGAGTTCGCAGCTCTCATGGAGGAAGGAAGAGTGGTCTCCAGGTTGGCCCTTCAAGCAGCTCTAGACGCGGCGGACTCTGCGGCACGAGTTATGGTCATGCTCCAAAGCTCCTGGCTCCAGGTTTCGGGTATTCCCCCCGGAAGTGCAGATGACACTTCAAGACTTGCCCTTTGAAGGGTCAGGCCTTTCTTGGAGCAGACAGATAGTAGGCTACATAGCTTAAAAGATTCTAGGGTGACATTGAAATCTTTAGGGATTCATACCCCACTCCCACAGCATCACCCACTGAACCCACAGGGACAGAAGGGCTATAATTGGGGCCAGATTCAACAACAGGCATAGGAATTGGGGCAATAACACCAGGAACTCCAGGAGATGCTCCCACTCGGGCTCAGACCAGAATCAGGGACCCCCAAATAAGCCCCAGGGCCCAAGGTCGGGAATTTGAAGGTATGTCCAAGGACAACGCACCAGCCCCAGCTCTAGATCGCCCCTTCTCGGACGGGCTATCCTCTTTCCACCATGCTTGCTTGGAGAGCCATCACTTTGGACTGCTAGGTCCTAGCCATTGTGGCAAGGGGATATACTATCCCGTTCCTGTCTCTCCCTTCCTTCCACCCATCCCTCTGCAGGGACCCCTCTCACGAGTACCTCCTTCGTCAGGAGGTCTCTTCACTCCTGTCTGGGGGTGGTGGAAGAGGTCCCATCTGGCTTCAGGGGGAAGGGGTTTTATTCCCACTACTTCCTTATCCCGAAGTCCAAAGAGGGTCTGTGCCCCATTCTGGACCTGAGAGGGCTAAACACCTACATAAATAAAATCAAGGTTCAGAATGGTAACATTGGCCTCCAATATCGCATCACTTGATCTAGGGGACTAGTACACCACCCTCGACCTAAAGGACGCATACTTCCACATTTCCATTACCTCTCACCACAGAAGATTCCTGCAATTTGTGGTGGGGAGAGACCATTCCCAGTTCACAGTGCTACGGTTTGGACTATCCACTGCACCCAGGGTGTTCACCAAATGCATGGTGGTGGTAGCGGACTTTCTGAGGAGGAGGGTGCTTCACATTTACCCTTACCGCGATGATTGGTTCATCAGCGGCCGTTCTCGGGAACAGGTACAACAGTTTATAGTAGCCAGACAGACCTTTGCGCAGGTGGGGAGCCCACCTGGTGGAACTACGGACACAAGGTATGTGGTCCGAGGAGGAGAGCTGCATTTCCATGTCAAGGAGTTGTGTGGTTCTGCTCGCTTGTCAAACATTCCTCCCCCATTTGAGGGGTAACTGTGTTTCCGTCCGTCCAGACAACACAGCGGCAATGTACTTTATCAACCAACAGGGTGGTGCTCACTCCTCTGCCAGGAGGTGCTTAATCCTTTGGGAGCTATGCATTGCACACAGTATACACTTGGGGCCAGCAATACCCTGGCAGATCGGCTCAGCAGAGTGTTCTCTGCTCACGAGTGGTATCTCAAGGGTGAGGTGGTCAGCAATATTTTCGGCAGGTGGCGAACTCCCCTCCTGGACCTCTTTGCTTTGAGGTGCAACAGGAAGTGCCCCAGGTTCTGCTCGTACCGCGGGAAGGAACTGGGGTCAGGGGGGGTTGCCTTAGCAATTTGGTGGCTGAAGGACCTCCTCTAAGCTTTCCCCCTTTCCCTTTGATTCATGAGGTACTCTTAAGGGTCAGAAGGTACAGAGCAACACTGATCTTCATTGCCCCAGCGTGGCCCAGGCAGCACTGGTACACCACCCTGTGGAACCTCTTGGTAGAAGACCCTATTCCTCTCCCCCTGGTCCCGGACTTGCCGACACAGGACATCGGTCAGGGTCTCCTGTGTCATCCAAACCTACCGTCCCTCCACCTCACTGCCTGGAAGATCCATGGCTACGAGGAGGGGAGCTCCTTTGCTCGGATCTGGTGCTGATGGAGAGCAGGACACCCTCTGCTAGGATGACCTATCAGGCCAAATGGAGGAAGTTTTCAGATTGGGTCACTAAGGAAGGAAGGGAACCCGGTATCAGCCCCCATCCAGATGATTCTGGACTATCCCCTTAACCTTAGACAGCAGGGGTTATCTTTTGCGTTGGTCAGGGTGCACCAGGCGGCCATCGTAGCTTTATACCAAGGGGGAGGGGAGGTTCAGTATTCACCCACTCTATGGTCAGGCAATTCCTGAAGGGGCTGGACAGACTTTACCTGCAGGTTAAGCAACCCATCCCCCAATGGGACCTGAACCTGGTGCTTTGGGGCTACATAGGAGCCCTGTTTGAGCCGTTAGCTACCTGTTCTCTCTCTCATCTATCCTGGCAGGGGGA